AAAATTGTGGTGGTTGAATGCAAATGTACAGTGAAGAGGAAAATAGAATATGAAATGACAGTTCTCTATTTACCCACAAGAATGTAAAGCATTAGGTTACTGACCCAGAAACAAGACTCGGGTAATCTGCTTTGTTGGTTGAAATTGTCAAGGCAGAGGCAGTCCTTAGACTCAGAGAAACATAGATATGGACAAAGTAATGAAACAGGTGCATAAAAAAAATTAACCACTGAGTCTCAAATCCTCTTCGCTCTTGGAAAAAAAAACGTCAAAGCCAAGACCTGAAAATGGTGGGTTAGTGAAGAAAGAAGACCATGGCTGTGTGTACTAAAATTTATTAAAAAAAAAAGAAAAGATTAGCCACATTACCAAGCGGATGATAAAGAACCAATAAAAAATTTGAAAACATGTCTGAAGAAGAATATGATAAGAGTGACTCGCCAAAGCAGGTCAAGAAGGTAGTATATGTACTGTTATTGAATATTTAGAATTTATATTTTGTTCTACATTAATTCATACCTGGAGCATGGCAGTATATAAATTAGATTTCCAAAAGGTTTAAGTTTGATTGCTACAGTCCATATGGATATACAGGGCATGCATTGTGTGTGTGTGTGTGTGTGTGTGTGTGTGTGTGTTTGTCACCCAAATACACAACACATAATGCAAAAAAAACCACCACCCATGCATATGCTGTTTACTAATATGCTCACATCTTGCATGTTTATATTACACATTAGCTCTACCTTAGGCTGCCCTGTGTAAGTCTCTTCCCCCCCCCCCACCCCCGCACCTGATGTCCCCTCTCCCTTACTTGACATCAATGCTTTCGCAGGTTCCCCCCCCACATGACACGAATGCTCCTGCAAGTTTCCCCCTCATGTCACTGATGCTCCTGTTAGTTCCCCTCAACATGACACCAATGCTCCTGCTAGTTCCCCCTCCCAAGCTATTATTCCTGCTAATTAGGTAATTATTTTCTTTAGATAATATTGAATAAGCCTTACACACTAACTTAGTCATGTTATTGAACATAAGCTTTTGGACCATAAGATATTCATTTTCTCCTCATTTTAACACCAAATTTTATAGCTTCTATTTGATCAGCAGGTTTTTTTTGGGTTACAATCCTAACATTACAGTAGTAACTCAGGTTCTAATGGTTAGGTTAATTGTCTAGTAATACTTCTGCCCATTTGTACTGCAAGCAGTGTTCCTCGACCATGTGATTCTACTGTATACTGTAATCATTCTGCTGCTGTTTTGACAGTTGAAGTCCACGATGGGGGACCAACCAAAGATTATGGTGTTCCGCCCAACCTGGGAGGAGTTCAAGGACTTCACTTCCTACATCACTTATATTGAGTCTCAGGGAGCTAATAAGGCTGGCTTGGCAAAGGTGAGAATTCCTATAAATGTTAATACAGTACAGTACTGTAATACATTGCTTTTGTACTTTATTGATTTATTTTCCCTAGTTTGTTCATTGCCTCCTCCCTTTCTTCTTGAGTGTGTGACCAAGTGAGAGATGAGAGATGTTTGGAGGATGAAGGGTGAAAGTGAAGAGACAGGGCTTATCTAGTGTATCTCTTCTTTTAACTGGCTTCTGCAAGATATCACTGTTGTCTTCACTGCAAAATATTATCTAGACCATACACCCTTTATCCTCCTAGTTCCCCCCACAATGTTGGCTGGACCTGAAATATGACTGCTTGTGGCTAAAGCATGCTACACACATTGAAACTTTTGCTGAGACTTGTTTATGCAAACAAAGTTGAACGTTTGAAGGGGAGATTTGTTGATTGTGCAATCCTTTTGCTCTGCTTATGCAAAAATCATGTCTGTACCAACTTTATCATCAATGTGTGACTGGGTAATTTTTTTAATTATTCCAAATAATTCACAACAGAGTTAATTGAGATTTACCGCACAGTGGAGTTTCATTAAAAAAAGGATTTTTTTTTCGTTTGTCACTTTGTTTTTAATCTCCAATTATTACCGGTATGTGTCTTGAGATATTCATTTGAACTAAATATTACTTGTATTAAAAATTTAAAATTAAAACACATGGTTTTTATTTAAAGTAGCTAGATAAGTATTTTATAGCCTTTATTAAACACTGGCAATCTTGGCAGGTAGCAGCTAGTTCCTGATAATTGCTTTTGTCAGCTATAGCGGTAGTGATAGTGAAAGAGTTACCAGATGAAATTTTTCCAAAGCATATTTATAGCAGGATTATCAAACATTACCATAATTAATCTTTGCTGTACTAGGGAAATAAAAAGGTAAATATTACAGTGATCAAGCACAAATAGATACAGGGGGTCCTCATTATACTGTAAGTGGCTTCGTACCTAAATGATCATATATTTGTGACCTACACGTAAAAAGTCCCCGCAGTTAAGAGGATTCTAAGGCTGAAATCCGTCAATCTTTGGGAGCAGTGTTTGAGAGATTAAAATTCCCACCCACCTACCATTCTCTTGAAATTCATCCTTCTCACCTGTGTTATGCATGCTCAGTACCAGTCACCTGTGTCCACAGGTATTATTTTGAAGTGCTCCAAAAACTATAATTTTCAATTTTGTTGTGTCTTTGGTGACATTGGTGGACTATTTTTGTAGCCGAAGCAAGGTGGCATAGTGGCTAAAAGGAAGCGTGGTAGCTGTGGGATGGACATGAAATTAGAAGTTACTTGTCGTAAGAAAAGTGGTGAGCATGTCTCATGAACCATTTTCACTGAACTGAGTGTGAGAGTGCCTAGTTAGGTAGCTTGCGTCTCGTCAACACATAAAACAATGTGTAATCAAGTGTTTAACAAATGTTTCCAAGGTGTGTGTGTGTGTGTGTGTATATATATATATATATATATATATATATATATATATATATATATATATATATATATATATATATATATATATATATATATATATATATATATATATACACATATATATATATATATATATATATATATATATATATATATATATATATATATATATATATACAGTGTCCTCGGTTAACTAACTCAATCCGCTCCAGAAGGTCGCTCGTTAACCGAAAAACCATTGTTTCAATGGGTTTTTGGGTAATTGGTTCCAGCTCACCGAAAATTTCCTAAATTCAACAAAAATGGTAGAAAAGTTCACTTACTTTGAGGTGTGTATGTAGAAGGCTCCTGGATGATGATGATGATGATGGGATTTAGAATGGGGGTGGAGGAGAAGGAAGAAGAGAAGGCATTGGGGTGGAAGAGAAGTCACCCCATGGTGCCATTTCACCCATAAAATTTTAGCTCTCTGGTTTAATTCAAGATTATTTTCTTTAAATCAACGCTGCACTGCATTATATATTGTCAATATATAAAATATATTTCAAAATGACCAATAATTTGCTTGGAAACACAGAAAAAAAGCGTTTAGTTGAAGAGAGTCTCAAGCAAGATGTTACCTCCAGTGAAAACAGAGAGAGACTGACGCCTGTTTGCTGTGTTAAGAGGCTGGATGCCGCGCATTAAACTAGTCACTTTACCTTCAATTTTGTTCAATAATTGTTAAAATTACTAAAAAATTGAATATTAAACTTTTAAAATTATTGAATAGTATAAACTTCTTGATATTTACCAAAATAGTAAGGAATTTAAGCCCTAGAACCGATTAATGTATTGGCGGACTGATACTAAAGCTGGTTGCCCGGTCAGTGCAAGCGAAAACATGTTGAGGTCGGTTCGTAAGAAGTTCGTTAACCGAATTGAAGATCCTTATGGAAGGCAGTTCGTTAATCGAAATTACGTTAACCGAGGTGTTCGTTAAACGAGGGGTCACTGTATATATATACATATATATGTATATATATATATTATGTATGTATATATATATATATATATATATATATATATATATATATATATATATATATATATATATATATATATATATATATATATATATATATATATATATATATATATATATAAATAAATAAATCAACACCTCACCCCGCCAAGATGTGAACCCACGATCTTATGACTGTGACCGGGGAACATTACCTCAACACCTTTATAAAATTAAACTTTGAGTCACTTACAATGTGATGGTCCCAATTAAGCCCTGTTCCTATTAATTCATATGGAAATTAATTCCCCCTTTATAAGTGGTTTCATTATCAGTGAGTTTTTTTTGGTCCCTATTGACCACTTATAACGAGGACCCCCTGTAACAGCTCTTTCTCTCCAGGAACATACTGTATTTGCCAGATGTAGAGGGAAAATGCACAATTTGGGTTTGTTTGGCCAGACAAATACAGTATGGGCAAAAACTGAGTGTGTAGCAAACTTGAAGTCAATAAATCACAGGTGCAGTGTACACAGGCTGAAGTGAGGTCACACATTGTTGCCTTACACCAGTGGTTCTCAACCTTTTTCACTCCGTTCCTCCCTTGAGGAATTTTCAACATCCTCGTGGCCTCCTTCATTCCCCCCCCCCCCATTCGGTCCTATCACCACTTGCAAAGGGATGACACACGGACACGTACTGAACAAGTCAGTTCAGCAGCTCGGTCCAGCGCCTGTCACACAGACAGGGACTGGACCTGTGAAATCTTAAATAATCCGTAAAAAAAAATAGCACCAGAGTATGTAAATATTAAAATTGTATTGTCGTTATGATTAAACAAAATGACAAAAAAGAATGAAAATTCTCTTCTGCCAAGTCAAAATAAGAAATACAAGTTTTGTTTAATTCAGACAACCAACATTATTTGGAAACGTACAATTTGTAACAGCTCGCCGTGGCTCCCCTAAATTCTTGCCGTGGCTCCCTTGGGGGCCATGGCAGCTACCAAACAGGGAGGTACTACCGCCTGGGAAGATATTGAAAGCATAATGTGTTGTTTAATGGTAGACCCTGCTGCCGCATGGCATCACGAAAATTGTGACCAAGTCCCAGGTTGCTGACCTGACTTTCTGCCTCATTTATACACAATTGCAGGATCTCAATTGTTTCTTACTATTGACAACTCAACATATATATTTTTTTCTCACTTTTGATTTTTTTTTGTATTTATTTTTATTATTACAGTATTATTATTATTATTATTATTGTTATTATTATTGTTATTATTATTATTATTATTATTATTATTATTATTATTAGTGTTATTATTATAAGTAGTAGTACTTTATTATTAAATTTTAAATGTTTTATTTTTTATTATAAATTTTATTTACTATGAATTATTACTACTACTATTACATTTTTGCCCCCCAGGCCCCGATGTGGGTCGGTGACCTGTGCCCGGGTGGGCTAATACCCGTAAAAAAAAGGGGGGTTGAAAATCACTGCCTTGCACCCTTGATGCAGTAAACCCTTGAAAGTCTGTTCAATTTGGGGGGAAAGGGGGTCCGGACTTTCCAATTGTCTGGAATCCCCCCCCAAAAAGGGGGGGGAGGTTCTGGGCACTAAGCAGCCACTCATTAGTGCCCCCCCTTCCCCCTTGATGACCCTTGAAATTTTAATGTGCAATAAATGTCGTGTATGTTTCCTTTTACTGTGCATGTTTCCTTAATTGTATATTGAAATAAAAATCCATATTATACAGTACTACAGTATATGATGTACGTTTTTCTATTTAATACTGTGTTATGTTATTTATGATGAAAAATACAGTACACTGTAAGAGGCTAATTATGATATAATAATGAATGAATTAAAACAAACTGGCAAATGAAGCAAGGCTAGCCTCCCCCTCTCACCCCCTCCCTCCAGCAAGTTTATACATCAAGTCATCTCGTGCCTATTAGCTCTCGTAAGGTCCATACTGTATTAAATCTGATTAGAGCACTGAACATATATATCACATATATATAGTTTATATACATATTATTGTAATAAAATATATTACTGGAATTGCATCACGAGGGATGGAGTATGTTCCTTGCAGCCCATTTGGTTCTACTGTATTTTAAATTCTGTGAACAGTTTATGTAAAGAGTTGTTGGGGTTGTTTCAGTTAGTTTCGTATTTCCCCAGAGAAAATCTGTGGTTGATGAAGTGGGTTCATAACAATTTTGTGATCATTGCAGATCATCCCACCGTCAGAATGGTGTCCCCGCAAGAGTGGGTATAACGTTGAAGCTCTGGACCTTACGATTCCAGCTCCCATTTGCCAGGTTGTGACTGGTAAACAGGGACTCTACCAACAGATTAACATTCAGAAAAAACCTATGACTGTTCAGGAATTCAATGAATTGGCCAACAATGACAGGTATGTTTAGAAAAAGGGGTAAATCACAATAATTAACCTTGCCATTTGACTTTTTCGGTAGCAGCCAAATAAAAATGTAGCGTGTCTCATGATTTCATGACATATTTGTACTGCCTAGTATTTCTGAATGACCCTTTGATGACGACAGTAACGAGTAAAGTACACTGTATGAAGAAAGGGGAAGTAAAAATTAAGGCAACAATTAGGAGAAAAATTTAGCTTTCTTTTATTAGGTGATGAGATTCACAATTAGGTGTTGATTAATTGTGGAAGAGGTAATGGAATCCCACATTGAGGAAATATATTTTTAGCAGGTCATAGAGTTTTGAAAATGAAAAATCACACAGAGTCAGGGAATGTTAAAAGAAGTGCAAAGAAGATGAATATATATTTACTTTTTTACAGGTATCGAACACCCAAACACTCTTCATACGAAGATTTGGAACGAAAATACTGGAAAAACATTACTTATGTTTCTCCAATATACGGGGCTGATGTTTCAGGCAGCATTACAGATCCTGATGTGAAGGTAACTAATATAAGTGCTTAAAAAAATAAAATATGTTACAACATTGATACTGTATAGTGTCAGTTTCAAATGGAGGAGACTGGCGTGAGTATGACCTGTTAACTGTTGCTCATTAGATTTTAAAAGCATGAAAATTTCTTTATTGAAGTCAAATTTAGGCCACCATGGTGATAGTCAGAGTTAATCCACCGGGTGGGGAACCTTGAGCTACAAGTTTGTAGTTAAACCCATTGTTGTCCAGTGAACTAGCTGCCTGACTACCAACTGTGGTGGCCTTGGTTTGAACCCGGCATCCAGAGGCGTAAATTGTGTACATTGATTTACTTGTGTAAATAACAGGTTCCGATATACCTGTACTGCATTGTATTCATACCACCATTGTGCAGAGAATCTGATTAAAAGCTGCCGAGTCAAATTCGTTAAAACTAGTATATATACAGTATTGTTTTGGATTATTTGGATGATCTGTTATGATCCTAAGATTTTGCATTTATTATACATTTAAGGTAGTTGAACTGGTGACCACTTTAGCGGACATAATATTTTTTTTGTCTTCATACCCTTCATCGTTATTCAGGTCTGATGGCCGTATGAAGTTGCTATTGTGTCTGATAACAGACACGTTTGGTTGTGTGCTTGAGTGTTCTTGAAATACTGTATTTGTGTATGTGCTGTGTGGTTTACATAAGTGTAAGGGAAGAGATTATAGGAATGTCAATATAAGTCGAGCTTGGGCCATATTAAGTGGTTACAGCATGCCTAGTATCTGTCTATTAGCTACTGATTTAAAAAGAAGTACAGTGAACCCTCGAAGCTCCGGACTAAAGGGGGAGGGACCACCTATCCGGAAAAGCTGATTGTCCGGATTTTCCGGCGAATAATAAATGATATAAAAAACAACAAAAATACAGTACTAATGTAGTGATAAACAAATTACCATATATAAACTATGCATTTATCTATGATAACATAATAACAAACATTGTATCATTACTAGAGTGAATGATATAATATTTCCACAAACAACAATTGTCAACTCTGTTTATGTTTCCCACCTCCTCGGACACCTGAGTCCAAGCAACTGACCGGTAAAGCAGTGCTTATGGGCCTAAAATGCTCTTTGCTCCGGTTTGGGAACGCTTCTTAGGGAAAATTCTAGGAGGCTTCTTTGCCCAGAACCCCCAAAATTTGTGTCTGGATCTTCGGGGGTTTACTGTATACCGAGTGATGAGAGTGTATAGGTTAAGCATGGTAGAGGGAAGAATGACAGAGGATATAAAGTTCCCCAGTAAAATATACTGTAGAAGGAAAAGATGCAAATTGGAGGTGGGTCATATATATATATATATATACTCTATATATATATTCTATATGCATGCAAGTACCTTATTGATCCATTCTCCACTGTAATTTTTCAGGAATGGAACATCAATAATTTGGGGTCAATATTGGATTATGTGAATGAGGACTATGGTATCAGCATCGATGGAGTTAATACAGCATACCTCTACTTTGGTATGTGGAAGACCACATTTGCTTGGCACACAGAAGACATGGATTTGTATAGGTAATTGTCTTGAGTTAATATCTTATATGTTTTCCAATGTGTATTAGGGTGGACTTGACCATCACCATTAAATTTGCTGATGCAGAGTTATCCCTTTACTTCTTTATATTTAAAGTAGTCCCTAACTTTGCTCTTACAGGTATAAAGTTAGCTACCCTTTAATTTTTCCAGGGATGAGTTTCAAAGTTTCTTGATAGCCCAAATGGAATTTTTTTTTAAGTACAGTAATTCCTCAATAAACTGGACTAATTAGGACAGACCCCGGTGTGAAAAATACGAAAGTCGCAAAAAAAAAAGAAGAATTATGGGGTCTTGACATAACACTGCTTATCTGGACTATTTCAAGAAAATCAGATGATGTTATATTGTAATGTTATTACTGCACTTCAACAGCTAAGGTCTTTTAAGTGCATAACATGTTAAGTAAAACAGGTAATCAACACTAAAAATATGAGATAGAACTCTGGGTTGAAAATCAGGCTTGTTTTGATATTAACAACGGTTTTCACGGAGATGATTGTTTTGTACTGTGAAATGTTGTATGTAAGTAACCATGATATATATATATATATATATATATATATATATATATATATATATATATATATATATATATATATATATATATATATATATATATATATATATATATATATATATATATATATATATATATATATATATATATATATATATATATATATATATATATATATATATATACACATACATACATACATACATACAGTGAACCTTCACTTTACGCGGTCAATTGAACCCACGGCAGCCCGCGTAAAGTGAGAAACGTTAAACTGTACAACATAACATATGGGATTAATTGAAATAGAGACCGGGCTGACCCCCAAACTCCAATTTTTCAGACACAATACCTACGTTGTAGTAAAAATAAGTAATTAATTTTATGATGGTATGCACACACAATTAATAATTAAGAGAAATATCAATATTAGGTTTTTTAACACTTACACTAGTAGAAAAGATGGCTGGGCACGCGGGGATGGGGGGTTGGTTCCGAGGCAGAGGGCAGATTATTGGCCCTCGCCTGTATCAATTGTATCACTATCCACCACAGAGGCTTGCAGGGCATCTTTGTCAAACCCCTCAAAGTCCATATAAGTCCATATCCTCACTATCATTATCACTATCACTGACTTGGGCCGGCTGTGGTGGGTGGCAGGTGAAGAACTCAGCAATGTTTTGATGACTGGGCGACCTTGTGCGCACCCTGCTCGCGCCGCTCTCTGCGTAAAAGGGTACACACTCCGCGGAAAGTGAGCATTCCGGTTTCGGCAGGGTACCACGTAAACGTGGAAACGCATAAAGCGGGGGTTTACTGTATATACACACACACACACACACACGCACGCACGCTTTTCACGACATGTTTTCAGCACATAGTAAATGGTATTGTAGTGTATTTTTCTGCACTTAATAAATAATATTGTCGTGTAATGTGCATCTCCATTCAGGTATTCCTTGGTGTATTCATTAATCAGTTGTCTAAGTGTACAAGTAGCCAAATCTAGCCATCATGTATCACTCAAAGGGAATAAATAATGTTGTTAGAAAGATAATTCCATATCAAATAATATACAGTAAGTTGTAGTGGCTGTTGTAAGCTATTGTGCTGAAAGCTTTCTTAGGAGTCCATCCTGAGTGAATGTCTTCTGATATAGCTTATCCTTTTATTTTCAAGTTAAATTACAAATGATATAATATTTTATATTTTTTAATTGAAGATGTTATATTAGTCATGATGAATCGTGCACTATAAGGCTGATCCTAAGATAATGCACATATAGCAAATTCAGGTCTTATCATTGGTTAGTCACAGGTGAATGTCACATTGGTATATTTGATACCGTTTGTGGTATTCTTTCTATGCGTTTATTAGATAACCTGTTAATATGTTTTTATTTTTCAGCATTAACTACCTTCATTTTGGATCACCCAAGACCTGGTACGCCATACCGCCAGAGCATGGACGTAGGTTGGAACGATTGGCTAACGGCTTTTTTCCCAATTCGTTTAAAGCGTGTCCTGCTTATCTGCGCCACAAGATGTCTCTGATGTCTCCGCAAATTCTCAAACAATATTCCATCCCGTATGACAAGGTTTGTTTATTGATGAGCAGATACGAGAATATTTTCTTACCCTTATCAGTTACCGTTGATCTTTTAATATGAAGTTCTGTACTGTAATTGTAAGTGCATTTGTACGGAAGCTGAGGGATTTATCATTCATGATCACTCACTTTTAGTTCTTAACCATTTCAGCAAACCTTTACATTGATACATTACTGTATTACTTACTTTGGCGCTTACAACCTAACTCAGCTCAGTGATAGAAGGATAGGTTTCTGCAGTTATATAACCACCTACCAACAAAAGTTAATATACTCTGCAGGTGGTAAATTTTTGCTGTTCAAGGATAGAGAATTAAATTATGCATTTTTTTTTTTTTTTTTTTGGTAAGAGTGCTTAAAAAACTTACTACTATTTTGGTGTGGGGATGGTGGAGCCACGTGTGGTGGGAGACCTCCATTTTATCAACACTATAAGTAATATTATTTGTGAGTTTGGAGAACAGTTTTGGCTCTCCCCATGATGATATTCTATAGCTTAATATTTATATAAAGGTTTTCTTGGAGTGTTATGTCATATTGAAGAGTTATTTATTAGCTTGCTTGTATGAGGTGTTCAAGAACTTATGCCTTACCCCTGACATCATAATCATTGTTGTTGGCATTTACGTCTGAGTAGTCATATTTCTGTAATGCAACATTGTACACTACTACTACCAGACTTAGTCACCTCTAAAAATTGTCACTGACCTTTTTATTTTGTAGAAGTATTGGACATGTTGTGTTTTTTTTCCTATGTATCTACTTGTGCTCAATTTACCAGACATCTTATGTATTATAATCAAAGGATACCCTGTTTCCTCTTGGAAAAGTAGGTCAATGGGACTTATTTTTTAAGAAATATGGGTAACATTACTTGACCCACTCTGGTTCTGCACCAATGCAGCATGTTAGTCACCAGCTTTCTTGAGATTGTTTATCTAATGTTATCACATATTATAGAAAATAGGTCATGTGACTTCTAAGAGTTCATGTAAGTGCAAGACATGGGTATGATCATCTCATGATATCTTGACACCACTTTCCAGCTTAGGTAATTGACTTTTCTTGGAATATAGGTCACATTAAATCTTAAGTCCAGCAATCACTGTGCAGCAAGATAACTTGCTGGTGTTGTCAAATTTGCTCTAAATAATTAATCAACCAATGACATCTCAGTTACCTACTTGAAAGAAATTGTCCAATGAAGCAAATGCTTTATCTGGTGCAATTTGTTGTCTATAAACAACTCTTAGTTATTTGTACCATAACAACACACATCCTTTACTGCATTGATAGTGAATGAAAGGATAATGTGTGTCCGTGTGTATTGTCTTTATGCCAGCCATACTGCATTATAGTGGGGAAAGGTATTAAAGAATGTACTAAAAGTTGGGTTGTAACTTGTACTGTATAATGCAGCATACATTACAGCTATACAATCTATTTTCAGATCACACAGGAGGCTGGACACATCATGATCACTTTCCCATATGGCTACCATGCTGGGTTTAACCATGGATTCAACTGTGCTGAGTCAACCAATTTTGCCATGCCAAGATGGGTAGAGTATGGCAAGAGAGCTACCCAATGCCAGTGCCGGTAGGTGTGAAGAGAAGAAAGTTTATAACTTATAAACATAGATTTACTTGGTGTATAGTGATCATAGATGTAGTCTAAGCTCATAGGTATTTTGTACATAACTGTATTTACAAATGTTTTATAATGTTGAGGACACACTATCTTTAGAGGAATTGTTCTAACTACAGATGTTTACAAATACTTGATTTGTTTCATGTTCATAAACTTTTTTTTTATGTTGACAGTGGTGACATGGTGAAGATCTCCATGGACACATTTGTGAAGCGGTTTCAACCAGAGCGATATGAACTTTGGTTAGCTGGCAAGGATATTGGTCCTCACCCAGAAGATCCTTCTCGGTCCTCAGCTGCCGCCCAGCCCTCCATAAATGACGTGCTTTGCAACAAAAAGTGAGTAGATCTTTTCAATCTTCTTTAAGCAAGACAAAGTTATGTGTAGCTCACCAGGTAGCTTATGCCAGATTTCTGTGTCCATGTGCCCTGTAATTACTTTTGCTGTACTTTGTTATTAGTAACCTTTCTTCAATTGAGGCGCTCCCATTGATAGTGACGAATCAACCAATGGCGCCCAAATCAGATCCTTGTTTCAACAGGAAGCCCGACTATGTTTTTACCCAAAACGGTTTATTCGTCATCCTTCCGTCATCAATGGGAGCGCCTCAATGTATCCTTGATAATTGCTCCTTATGACAGTATGTGTATTGAACTTTACTTTATGGTTATAAGTCTCTCTTGGCCAGGGTTGCAAATGATTTCGATCAAATGAATTAAATTAGCCCAATTTTTAATTTTGGTATCATAAATGAATGTGTTCATATTTCGGTAAAGCCTCGAATAACGACGGTAATGTGTCCTCCGATATTGCAGTGTAAGGTGAATCATCGTATCGTGAATCCTTAATTGCCATTTAAATAAAGCAACACTAATGAGATGCATTTCAAACTCTGACTTTTTCATATATTTTGTTTGGCTTTTTACCCTTTTTTCCCCCAAAGCAATAGAATTAATGAAAAATGCAAACTATATTCTTTAAATAATGTTCATGAATGCACCTTATACGGTATAAATGAATAATAATATGGTCACAAGAGTAGATGGGACGTTATTGTTTTCATTATTGTTTACACCCGGGATGATGGTTCTATATAAGAAACAAGAAAATAAGACCCTGGTTGTAGCTGGAGTAAAATTAATGTAAAAAAATGAATATAAGTTTTCAGTTATGTTATTTAATGTTAATAAATGGAACAATAGAAGTAGCTAACCACTAATGGCAAAGAAAAAAAGCGAGATGGATTGAGAAGGCCAAAGTATACATGCGCACTCAAGGAAACTGTGTCATTTATCTTATTAAGAATATGTACAAAAGATTCATTATTGTTTATTACTGAATATGTGTTCAATTGAATTAATCATTATACAGGCAGTCCCCGACTTACGACGGGGTTAGGGACCTAAATCCAGGTCGTAAGTCGAATTGGTTGAAAATGTGAAAATAATACATAGAAAATCTAAAATGGGTGTCTATTTTTCTTCTCAGCACCACAAAACTGTCACTTTTAAGCTTGCCAGCCATTTTAAAGGGAATTACCAAAAAAAATTTTGTCAGTATACACAGCGCAATCACTAACGTTGGGGCTCGAAAATACGTAATTTTACAAAATTTGGGTACGACTGAGGCGGTCGTATGTCCGGATGGTCGTAAGTCGAGGAGTACCTGTATATGCGAAATGAACAATATAATTCATTAATACTACGTAGATTATTAAAACACAAAAGGAGATGAGACGGCTTTGTTGTTGTCAGTGTTTACATCCAAGATGTCAGTTATCCACCTCTAAATTAACCAGGGTCTTAAATATGAATCGTTGTTAGTAGAACCGTCGTTATCGGAGGCTTTACTGTACATACATTTTAACACCTCTTCAACATTCATAATAAATCATTGACTAAAAATAGCTTCTGTGACTAGAAAATGCTTAAGAAATTATTTTGAATCAAGTCAAATTTGGTAGTGAAGTGATTTGTTTGCTTCTTTTATTATCAAATTGTCTGAAGTATAAGTGTATCGGCTATTAATTTAATTTATCTCTGTAAGAGCTTGCTTCAAATTACAAGAACAGAGGAATTCAAGCTTTCTTTATCTGATCTAAATACAATGCTGCATAAGAAACAGCTTTATTCATTGGAATTGTTTATGTTTTTTCACATCTAATTGTTTTCTGTACACTTGTGATTTCATAATGACATTTTTTACATGAATTAAATTAGTGTCTCGTCATAAATGATTTATGACGTGCTTTTTTCCAACTCTGCCCTTAGTACAAAGGAATTCTTCATTAGTAGAGAGGCACATGCTTACTCTGTGCTTGCCTCTTTGCATGGTCATGTGCATTACTCATTTATTGGTGATCAGAACAGATTGAACCTCCCATTTTAATCCACTTACAGGCCTGTGTTATCCTTGGCTATAAATTTATCCCCTGCATGCCACTTTGTGTTGGCTCCTTTTTACCACTTTTTAAAATGTCAATATTAACAGCTACCGTAAACCATCGATAGCTCGGCACCTATGGGGCTCTGGCCTTGCTTAGTTATCCCAAATTCCGACTTATCGAGGCACTTCCCTCCTACAAAAACACAAAAATAAAATATTATCAACCCATGAAGCATCATAGTAGGTGACACAGATGCATGGTAGGTGACACAGAGGCGTGGTAGGTGGTGCAGGTGGCCAAATATGCTGAGATTTTCCCTGATAATTTTGCACATCTCTGCATTTCTCGAGTAATACTAATATATTCCGATACCATATCCACGCCGAGTTATTTGAAATACCAAATTATCAAATGCCGAGCTATCGAGGGTTTACTGTACTGCTGCTTGCATGCTTTAATTTCTGAGGACAGACTTGTTCGGTGAATTTCATTGATCTTTTAAGTTTTTGCTTATGTTTGTTTTTCAGTAATGTTAAGATGATATGTTTCTTCAGTCAATAAATGTTTTTTCTTGTCACAATGCTTGCTTTTGCTTTGTTTATTTGCATACACAGGCTTTGGTGTGATTAGGCTTTGCATGTGCTGTTAGCTAACAATAGTCCCCTGCAGGCATGCTTGTAAGTGTGGAAGCCGTGATGTTAACAGCCATGGAGGGAAGGGATGGCAGCAGATGGGGTCTGACTCTCCCAACTGCTGCCGAGAGGCCAGATGGCTCCATGAACTTGGGACTGTGGCTATTGGGCTGGACGAAGTAGCCACACTCCATCTGTCCCTTCCTCCTGCTGTCTCTCTCCGTCCCATCTCTCCCACCCCAATTGTTCCACCCATCCCAGCCTACCTGCCATTTACTCTATACCCAGAGGAAGTGCCCAAACCTGATAAGGTGGTACCTGACTATCCCACATTCTTTCCTACCCCCACTCCCTCTCCAGGTCTCAGACCTCTGATTGGTTACCAGTGTTCAACGTGTAACAAATTTATCACAAGAAGTGCATTTGGCATGCACTTAAAAGACCACACAAGAAATAAAGTGCCCACAGAACATTATTGTTCTTTCTGTGACAAATATTATTCAACATACATGAACTTAAGCAAACACTTTAAGAAGCTACATCCAGGTGAAAACATTAGTAAACCAGTTAAACCTCGTGTGAAACATCTAGAGCCTCCCCAATGCTCCCCCTCTAGTGATTATGGCAGCCTTAGTCCAGTATCTTTGTCTGGACCTTTATCCCCCTCCTCACCACCTACTTCCCTCCTGCCACCTCTGGACTCTTCTATTATCTCATTACACACTGATATACCTACACTAAAAGGAAACAAGTATTTAGTCACCCAGAATTATACCATTAACAGGAAAGAAACTGTTCAGCAAATTAAAGTTAAGTTGTATTCATGCTCTGAAAATATAGATCCTGATATGTTTGCTTTAGCCGAGTCTTGCATACGACCATCACTTAGTGGGTCGGTGATCACTGCGTCACGTGACCCAGAATTGGGTACTTGTGTATCTATCATAGATGAAAAAAAATGTGAAAAGGCTAAATTAACCCCAGGTACACATTTGATTTGCTTAAATCAATCGCAGAGCAAAGCTGCTGGCATAGGATGTCATTGTATCAGAGTAGCTCCTTTGCTTAGCAAGAACGTAACCCCAGATCATTCTAGTCATGTTAGCTCACCACCACACAGCAAGGCAGTGAGGTCGAAGGATCTAGTTTGCTTAACCCCACCACACCGCAAACTAGTGACTCCAGAAGAGTGTTTAGTGTGCTTAACTTCACCACACAACAGAAATATATGCCCAGATCATTCACTTCATCTAACACCAACACACCGTAAAATAGTCAGTCCAGATTATTCCATTCATGTTACCCCATTACACACCAAAGCAGCAAGCCTAGAAGACAATTTAATTCGTTTAACTCCACCTCACAGTAAAACAATTGATCTGTCTGCAACTACTGATGAGTATGACTCTCAACAACCACTTGACTTGAGTTGCTCAGGAGATTTGCACTTTGGTTTTCCAGCAACTGCTATTGAGGACATTGAGGGTGACATAATTGAACCATATGTTGAAGTTAAACGAGAAGACGTAGAGAAGGTTGCCAAGGATGCCATTGTTGATCAGGTTGAAAAGTCCTGTAAACCAGAAATTCCAACAGATTCAAGAAATTTGTCCCTTACATTTGATTATGTAAATATAAAAGCTGAAGAATTACCAGTTATGAAAACACAAGTTGAAAAAGAAATAATTCTAAATGATGAATGTGATTTGTCTGATGAGAGAGAAGAAAAAAAAGAGTTCTTGAATATAAGTAAAGAAAATGGAAATTTCAAGGCACCATCTTTAAAGGAAATTTACTGGGATCTACTTCTTGAAGTAAAGGAAGAAGACTATGGAGTAGGTGACAAGATATCATGCAAGAAGGTAGCCTACGAAGACATTGTATCAGTAACACCTGAGCATTTTACTTATGCTACTCTTGCAACTCCTCCCAAAGATAAGAGTGAATGGGAAGACCATTTTGATCATGAGTGTGATGGGCAGCTGTGTTCTCTGTGTGGTATATTTTGGAAACACATAAAATCAAGAGATGAAGGAGATGATACTGACATAGAGTCAGTTGACATGGAACTGGCATCTTTATGTTCCTCAAACACTGACTCTGCTACAGAGATGGAAGCAACGGTACTGCCGTCAGATAGTGAAGCAGAAGAGCAAGGGAATCATGTTGCTCAACACAGTGTTGCAGGTTTTAGTAAGACTTATCCTGTAATTCATCATACCCTGCCAAGCACAAAAAAATTAAGTTTACGAAAGAGAGAGTCATTGTCAATGCGATTTAAACAGCGGAGTCTTCCAGTAAAGAGGAAGAGAAATGCACA